AGGTTCATTTAAACCACGATAAACTGGTTATCAATGGACAGACGTTTATCTGGGACAGCGAAACGAGACAACCTGTTTTATATCGGGCGCCTGGCCAACCAAGAGAACACGAATGACGGGTCGGAAAGCCTAAAGATGGCCCAAGCAATCATGAGGCTACAGCTACAAAACAGGCGCCTTCAGTACTATTGGTAAATTGCCGTAGCACCAAAAATAAAGTAGACGAGTTTGCACTTTTGGTGGAGACCCTTAAACCTGAAGTTGTTATGGGGACGGAGCCTTGGTTAGATGATACTGTTAGTGACGCTGAGGTATTTCCGGCGGGTTTTACAGTTTATCGCAAAGACAGACATCGGCACGGTGGGGGAGTTTTTCTACTAATTTCTAATAGATGGACTAGTCATGAACTGGTTTTCGAAAATGCTACCGAGTCTGTCTGGTGTCGGGTCTTTTTCCCAAGGGGAACTGCTCTCGTGTTCGGGACCTTCTACCACCCCCCTGATAACAGTGAAACTTCAATTTGTTTGCTCTGTGACATGTTATCAATGATTCCTGACAGTGTTTTTCTAGGTGGTGATTTTATTCTGCCAGATTTTAACTGGTCTACTGGAACAACAGAATGTATTGTTAAATCACGCGTTAACACTGTGTTTACAGAGGTATTGGGCACTTTCAGCTTCAATCAATATGTGCAGCAGCCGACGAGGTTGAACGCCATTCTAGACTTGGTCTTATGTAATGACCCTAATATTGTAGCTCAGGTCGGGGTGTATCCTGGAATAAGTGACCATAGTGTGGTTGTTGCAACGCTAAATGTATCTGGAGCACCCGAGAGGGCACAACTTCCACGCAAGGCATTCATGTATGAGAGAGGAAACTTTGACGCCATCGGCACTGAATTGGACAGCTATTTTTCAACCTTTTTATGCTTAGCAGTATCGCACTGTCTAGAAGATCTGTGGAGCATCTTTCGTAATAAAATAACAAACTTAATCGACACTTTTGTACCATCGAGGATTATTCGACAAAAACGAAAACAAAAACCATGGTTTAATATTGAAATTCGTAAACTCGTAAGAAGAGCGCGGTGTGCATATAGAAGGGTTTCCAGAGATGGCTGTCCAATAAACCTGCAAAGGCTAAAGGAAATTGATTACACATTAAAGCTATCTATAAGAAAAGCAAAGAAGTTATTTTTCTCCCGGCTAAACGATCGATAATCTTAAGCGAAATCCCAAAGTGTTCTGGAATTACGTTAAAACAAGTAGAAAAGATGATACTTCTATCCCATACTTATATGTTAACAATACAATAATCGAGAGTGATGCTGAGAAGGCAGAATGTTTTAATTTTTACTTCAAATCAGTATTTTCTCAAGAAACAACCAGCGATGAATCACCAGTATCTGTTATTTCTGGTAACACAATGGCAGATATTGAAATTGATGTTAACGGTATTACTTGCCTCTTGCGTGAAATGAATACCTCGAAGGCAACCGGACCTGATGGATTACCATCGATTGTTCTTTGTAAGTGTCGAGATATTATAGCCCAGTATTTATGTCTCATGTTTAAAATTTCCCTTGAAACTGGGGCAGTTCCACACGATTGGAAGGTAGCAAATGTTATTCCTGTTTTCAAGTCAGGGGATAAAAAACTTGTAGAAAATTATAGGCCTATATCTTTGACGTCAATTAGTTGCAAATTGTTGGAACATATTATATATAGTGAAGTTTTTGATTACCTGGAATCCTGTAAATTTCTTGCCCCTTCCCAGCATGGCTTTCGCAGAGAGTGTTCATGTAACAAACAACTGGCAGAATTTCAACATTACATTTCAAAATCACTTGACAGCAATACTAATGTAGATGCAATTTTCCTTGATTTTCGTAAAGCCTTTGATACTGTACCACACCACCTACTACTGAAGAAATTAGCATCTTTAAATATAACTAACAATATTCAAAAGTGGATAAAAAATTACTTAAGTGGCCGAGAGCAGTGCGTGGTTTTAAATGGTAGCAAGTCATTACCTATAACTGTGAGTTCAGGAGTACCCCAAGGCAGTGTCTTGGGACCATTATTGTTCTTAATTTATATTAATGATATTGTAACTGACATTCAATCGCCGATTAAGCTGTTTGCGGACGATTGCGTTGTTTATAGACAAATATATTCAACAATGGACATAGAAATATTGCAAAGCGACCTAGATAAAATAGAACACTGGTGTGATAAGTGGAAAATGAGTTTAAATATTGGAAAATGTAATTATCTCAGCTTCACAAAAAATGTATCAAGGTCTCCCGCCAGCTATACCATTAAAAATGCAATAATCCGCAGAGTAAGCGACTGTAAATACTTAGGAGTTAATTTCACCCAATCACTTAAATGGCACAATCATATTGACTATACAATAGCAAAGGCAAGCAAAATGTTATATTTTATCCGGAGGAATTTTAAGGGCGCTTCAACAGAGGTGAAAGAAACTCTTTATATTTTGCATGTTAGGTCGATACTCGACTATGCATGCATCATTTGGGACCCATACCAAGATTATCTTATCGAAAAATTAGAAAAGGTACAGAATCAAGCGGCACGATTTGTCAGCAATAACTATAACCCTTATGCAAGTATCTCTGAAATAAAAGCCATGCTGGGATGGGAATCATTAAACACTAGAAGGTATAAGTTAAGGTTGGAGTTCTTTCATCGGATTTATTATAATGAAACTGGCATTGATAGAAATGAGTATTTGTATAAACCAAGTTACATGTCAGCGCGGTTCGATAACTCTGAAAAGGTTTTTGAGTACTGTTATAAAACAAACAATTTTGGTAGTTCTTTTTTTTTTCAAACAATCAAAGACTGGAACCTGCGGCAACAGGAGCTGGTCAGTATATCAAACAATGATGCATTTTTTTCTCGTTTGTGAAAATCACTGTTATTTGTTATTTCGTGATCCCCCCCTACGATAATGCCCACGAGGCGATGTAGGTATTCTGTAAATAAAAATAAATAAATACGCAGAGGGACCCAGCAAATGGTTTGTCTAAAAATGCCACGCTGTCTTCCGGCCCCAAGGACTGAGAAAAAACATTGAAGTTGTATATATAGTGATGCATGCCACGAGTACCGTGGTTAACTTACCCTAATTTATGCCCTTCATTTTCAGCATAATGTAACCTTGCAATTTCGATTATGGCACTGGATTCGAAATTTTCAGTGGCTCAGGACATATCTTAGACTAAATTTTCCTTGAGGATCTAGGTGGAACCGAGGAGCAAAATTCAACGAAAAGTTACCACCATGTTATGAATAATTGAACACTGCACGACATATTTTATTGAAAAGCAAAATGGCTGTCATATTTACGTTAGTTGAGTTGGGCAGCTTCCGAAAGTAAGTAATTGGTATATTATTGCATTAATGTTCGAAATAAATTAATACTATAGAAATTACTTTTTGTGTACCTTAAATTTGTTTGTAATTGGAAAGTTTCGAAATAAAGTGTTTCTTGTAATTATATTACATAGCTAAGGTTACTTAGTCAAGAATCATAAAGGACAAGCTTCTTTCAGACGTTGTAACAGCAGAGCAGCAGAGCAGGGCGTAAGGCAGAAATGAATAACGATTACGAAACAGCGACCAATATAACAATTTGCACGGAGGTTTCTTTCGAAAGACAAGACCAAATGTGTCTTCTGCCATCTCCAATGACGCAGTCGTCATACGAAGTTCTCGATTTTCCCCGAGTCCTAATACCTCACGAAACAGGTTAACCTTGGGCCGCCGCACTTACATAGCGCAGACTCGTACGCTGGGCATATAAAACGAATGTGGGTTTTCATGACTTGTTTCAAAACACGGTCTGGGCAAACTGCCACGATACAAAAATGGCGATCCAGGGCTTCTATGTTTTATTTTTTACGAATAGCGAATTCCCATTAGTTGCCTCGAAATAATCCCCTGGTTCCTCTGCGCCGGTCGTCCTGACATTTTATTAAGACGTGCTATAGATACATCAGATTTCATTTACACGCATCAGGTCGTGTGAATCATCAGGGGGTAATTTACATCTCCCCTCGGAGCCGAAACAAACTTCTCGGCAATTCAGACCGGTTGCTCGTTTTCCTTATCGTGCCTACTTGACGTCATAATGAAAAAAAGAAACGTTCGTCAGCCAGAAGTTTTTACGCAGCCTAGTCACAGCGCGAAGGACAATTTTACAAGCCGCTTCGTAGGAGCGGCTGTGTGGTGCTTAATATGAATTTCTTAAGCAGTTTATCACGTCTTTCACATTGTTTCAGCTGTGTTCTCATAGTGGGTGCGGTATGCGGGTCTGTTGTTCCTTCGAGAGCTTCACCGCACGTTCGGACTGGCTCGGGACTTCTCGTCGGAGTGCGATCAACAGTGAGCGGCAAGGATGTGGATGCGTTCCTTGGAATACCATACGCGGTGCCGCCGGTCGGGAATCTTCGATTTCGGAAGCCGCTGCCGGCACCAGCCTGGGAAGGAACTTACAGTGCCACGAGTAAGCCCACTCCCTGCTGGCAGCTTGACTTGCGTCTCACGGATGATGTTTTCCTAAACTACTCGAGCGCGTCAGAAGACTGCCTTTACCTCAACGTCTGGCGGCCTGCGGCACCTTGCCGCAACTCCGAATCCTGTGGACCCAAACTCCCCGTCTTTGTGTTCATTTACGGGGGAGGCTTCCAGTGGGGAGACTCGGCGCTGTTCCTCCACGATGGCTCCAACTTTGCCTCGATGTCCAACGTCGTATTCGTTAGTTTTAACTATCGCGTCGGAATATTCGGCTTCCTCTCGGCCGAGTCGCCAGAACTACCCGGAAACATGGGTCTTTGGGACCAAAACTTGGCCCTGAAGTGGGTTCAGAAGAATATCGAGCACTTCGGAGGCAACCCCGCTGACGTCACGGTGGCAGGGCACAGTGCCGGAGGAATTTCGGCAGGCTTGCACGCTGTCTCCCCACACAGCAAGGGCCTCATGAAGCGCATAATTATGCAGAGCGGCACGCCACTTGCTATGGTGACTATCAGTGCGTATAAGGCAGGAGGCCAATTCGTCAACGTGGCAAGCACTTTGGGTTGCTACGATAGATGGAAAGGCTTTGATGAGCAACTTTCCGACACCATGGCATGCTTGAGGGAACTTAGTGCTCAAAAAATTCACGAGACGCTGAAGCAGCAAAGTACCTTTAGGCAGCTCTTCCCACCCGTAACTGGAGATGAATTCTTCCCAGATGACCCCCTCGATGTAGCTACGTGGAAGAAGATGTCCGTAAAAGAGGTAATCATGGGGACAACGTCGAATGAAAGTACGGTATTTTTCCAGAACATACGTTTCGTTGCTCCACAGCTGTCTAATTTGCTGGCAAGTAATTATAGGTTGACTATTACCATTGCGTTAAAGACCATGTTCAACTTTCCCCTGGGGGCTGGGAGAGACATTGTGAACGCATATTTCGGTGACGAGGAGGTTCACCATGACAAAGATCACGTTATAAGTATGTTTTGCGAGCTTCTGGGAGACGCCATGTTTTACTGTCCTACACATTTCTTCGCCGACGTAGCTTCTCAACAAGGAGCCGACGTGTACAGATATGTCTTCGCGCACAAAGCATCCAAGAGCTACTTCCCTGCGTGGATGGGAGTTGTGCACGGGGCTGACTTGGGTTACATGCTGGGATCGCTTCCGTTCCTGCACGACGAAAGTAAATTGACGCCTCCTGTGGGACCCAAAATTAGAGAGATCCTTATGGACCAGACCTACACTGTTGAAGAAGAAGACTTCATGAAGCAGGTTGTTAGTAGCTGGGCGTCCTTTGTCCGGACCGGGTACGTAAACAAAACCTTTGTACAGTCTAAGACAAGCCCGTGCGTCCACTTTCCTGCACAACAGTCGGAGAGCCAACCGCCACAACTTACGGAGGCAGCTCAGCGAATGACGATGCCGAAACATATGTTTAGACTAAAAAAACACAGTCCGAGTTGTCACATTAAGCAATGCAAATCGTAACAATTGTATTGCTTAATGTCACAACTCGGTCTGCACTTCTAAACATACGTTTCGGCATCGTCATTCGCTGAGCTGCCTCCGTAAGTTGCGGTGATTGGCTCTCCGAGTGTTGTGCGGGAGAGTAGACGCACGGGCTTTTTTTATTTAGAGTGATATCGCGGTGCGTGCATTAAAATTTCGAAGAATAAACTTACCTACCTAAAGAGTAGAAAGTTAAGAACAAACGGCGTCTGACTGTCGCAACAGCCGTCGGATGGAAGTGGTGTTAGAGCGAGGGCTCGAACACTACTCTCCAATTGCAGAGAGAAGATCTTTCTGAGTCAAATGTGGCGTGGGGCATTTTGATGAGGTTTATGAATTTACTTTTGTTTTTAATTATACAATTACCTGAATGAGTAGAAAGCTGACAAACAAGTTATTTTTCGGGCTATTTTGGTTACATGTGAACCGCTGTCACAATCTCCATGCTTTTACGTCATCCAGACATGTTTTATTGTAGAGGTCTACATTACGCAGCAAGTTCAGAATCTTAATGTTTTGTTATTCACTCACATAAGACGATTCCTTGGAAATTTGAAACACAAAATGCACACTTTTCGGTCACATTTTAAAAATCTTATCTTTATACGGTAAAAAAAAACATCGATTTGTGCTGTCTCTTTGAAGAATCAACAATTCATCTCACTCACGGGAGTACAGTGCAGTTAACACATAGGCAATAAAATGTATAACGCACTAATGAACTAGTCAAGGATTAAATAACGCAAACTGAATACTCCTCTTCCGACGGACGTAAAACTAAACTTTACTGGAGGCTAAAGATAATCACCAAGCTGGTCAAAACCTGAACAATCATGCTAAAACAAGTTAATACGACAGACGTTTTTGACACTAGCCAAGAGTGCGAGTAGCGTTGAAATTTCACATTCATTCATTCATTCTTTTCGCCAGACACTATGATATCAAGGTCACAGGTTTTGAAGCATATTTTAAACACATTATGAATTATATAATTAATTAATTAATTAATTAACGGCTGTCTTGTTTTCACCCAGGAAACCGTCGGTTCCTCCATCCAATCCGGAATGGCCAAAGCACACCTTACAAAATCAACACTTCGTCTACCTCCTTCCCGGCAATTTCAGTCCATCCCATGAATTGAAGAAACAGCGATGTGAATTGTGGCGGCCCTACCTGATAAAAGAGTACGTACCATCGGCTCTTATTACAACATTCCTTAAAGGGCTCGATATGGTTCGATGTCTTCGGCGCGGCCGCCAGCAGTGGTCGGCGCTAGCTACACGAGTCCCGGCGCGCCAGAAATGCGCCTCTCTGCACCCGCCGCCATCGCTCTCAGGCTCCTGGACTCCGGGTGCTACTGCGCAAGTGCGGCGAGCCAGGCGAGCACGCGCGGAGCGTCTGGTCGGGCTAGCCTGGCGCGAAATAGTGCAGAACCTATTTCGCGACGGCGCCGCCGGAGCGCGCCGCCCTTCGCCGGTTCCGACTGCTACACAGAGAACGTACCGTACCCATGGCGCGCGAACGCTCGCTCCCGCGTTACGTTGGACTGTATTGAGCCCATTAGTGCATGCCATTTTCTTGGTTGTGCACTGCGCGACACTGTTTGCGCGAACACGACTTCAGCTCTTTTTAGCATTTTTCTTCAAAAGGGCACTGGAGGGCAACAAATTGTATCACTTAGGTTAGTACATCAATTCAAAAATGTCTACCACTATAGTAGTTATAAACACAGTCCTTCAACACTGAGGGGGAAAAAAAACCGACGATGGCTTTTTCGAGGGTGACAGTGTCGCGGAGTGTACGTATTCATTTAATCATAAATGCACTGAGACGCTAGTACAAGCTTAATTGCGTTTGGCAGAGCAATAATCTAAAAAGGTTCTCAAGCCCAGTAACATGATTATTACTGGAAAAATCAGTATTCACCTGAAAGTAGAGGTTAAAATCTCGAGATAAGAATTATTTGTCAGCGTAAAGAGCATCCTAACTTCTCGCTTTTTAATCTCGCAAGACGCCCTGCATTGAAACGTGCACAGTCGAGAGTATATTCCTTTAGTGAAAAATCGATCACTTCAACTAGATCACTAGCTGTCACTCTTAAATTTAGAGAAGCGTTTTTTTTTTCTTGCTAAAATATTGCATACAAAGACACTTGCATCTTTCCCTTTATAACTAAGTATTTATCTCAAAGTCTGAAATAAATCTACGCGCTGTAGCTATAAAATCCTAGATTGCGCTAGTTTACGTTATGCTGCCTACTAAAAATGGAGTGCTCTTTTAGTATTAAAAACCAAACAAAAACGGGGGGGCCTCTGACTGCGACTTATTAAGGAGGGAGTCCGTTAAAAAATCTATCCCGATTAATTGCTACTTCCAATCGATTAATTAATCGATTAGTCAGTTGCGTTGACCTTCAACCATAATGCAACATTTAGTAAAAAAAATTCGCATTTTTATTTTTACTATTTGTTGCTATGTCATCCATGACGGAACGGACAACATCATTTGTAATTTGAAGCTGTACCGCCCGCAAAAAGAAACTACGAGTTAACCACTTGAACAATAACATTCTTTATAATATTTCTGATGTATACCAATTACAGGAAATGCTAAAATGCTTTACCGTGGAGCAAAACCATGCTGCCCTTTAAAGTGTATAAATGCGCACCAATTAGGAAAGCAATGATTCTTATTTTCTCCCCGAAATTTGGAAATAGAGACCGAACCGATAAATCGATCAAAATTTAATCGCCATTAAACCAATTATTTGAATATTCAGAAAGTTAGTCGATCAACTGAATCATTTTGCCATCCCTATAAAGTGCATTTTTCCTGTGCATACTGCTTAAGCGGATTCAATTATTTTTTTTTTTCTTTATGCTTTCTGCGTTTAAGCGGGTCCCGCACTAATGCTAAAGCCTAATTTTTCTACTTTTTCACGTAGCTTTTATTCTTTCGTTGTTGTATCTCGAAGCAAACGTTTCTAATAAAATAACAAACCAGAAGCAAAACTGCCTCTCGCATGTCACGAGTCATAAGTAAAGTGTATTGATTTCCGTTACTTTTTAAAGCGAAATAAAGATTCCCGCTTCTACCTCAATAATTTTTAGCACTAAATATGTTTTAGGGACCGTGATCCCTAGGTAAATTGTTACGAAACGCCACGAAAAGCGTTCACAAAGTATGTGACATATGGATTTGAAGCGAAACAAACGAACCCATAATTCCGATAAAAATGGTAATAATTTAATGAGAGAACGCGGGAAATTCACAACATCCTACAACGAGAATCAAAAGCTAAACTATAAGATCACGAGCCCGGCGCTCTCCAATTAAGCCAACTAAGCAATTTTTTATACGCTTTTATTATTGCAGCGAGTTTTGCAAATTTAGGCGCAGGAGAAGCATGGTTAACTTCCCATATGTGACTTGTTATATGTCGATAATACGTAATTCGACTTCAAAAGGTTTACAAATTTAAAAACAGGTGCCGGAATGGGAATTTTGCGATATCAACACGGTACTTGCAGTCCGAATTTATGCGTAGGATCGAAGTAAATAAAGCGTTTAAGTATTACCTACAAACTGTGTGCCTCTTTTAAATGTCTAAATTACCTGCCCAGGCTTTTAATTGTTTCTCCTATTTTTTATATTTTTAAAAGCCTTCAATAAATATATTTTGTTTTCTTATAGAGACGGCCAAAGAAACAACCTATCAAACTAAATAATGTCCAATATGTTGTGGTTCTGTTTTCCTATTCTGCAATGCATTGCGTCCTTTCCAGGAATGTCATCCCGGCGCCCAAGTCAACGACGACATCGACATCGAGTCCTCCAATGAAACCAACGCCCCCAACAAAGAAGCCGACATACACGAAGCGGCCCCTCACCAAGCAGGCTTCCTCAGCTGCGCCGTTTGAGAATTATCCCTCTAACATTGTTATTCTTTCAATGTTCGCGCTCTTTTGCTTACGTCAAGGACTATGAACAAAAGTGCAATAAACAATACCACTCGCTTTGTTCTAATTGCAGCCTGTTACCCAACATTTTACAATGACGAGAATTGCGAAAGTTGTAAAGAAAAAATCGAAACAAATTGGCATTATCCATCTGCGGTTTATTATGGTACATCAGACATTTAAAGACGTGAAGTAATTGCAGTAAATATGTCGTTAAACGGTAGATTATCTTTCTACTTTTCTATTAAATATCACGTACCCTAAAACGCTAGCATAAAACTTTGTTTTTAGATCTAATTTTTAAATTGAAGTTAGTTCTTCCGAGATCCACGCGCACAATCATGAGGTACGAACGGAATCACATACATACTTTCATTTAATTAATATCAACCTGCCCACCCCATTGAAAAAGTATCCAAATCAATAATTACTATAAGTTTTACTACGCATCACACGAAAAGTCACATGATCAGCCAAACGACATAATCACAGCGCATATCTATGGTATGAATATTTTGCAAATTTCCTCTGCGCTATGATTTTTTTATTCTGACGGGTATTGATTTTTATATAGAGTGTCATTTATTTTAATGTGTATAATTCTAATAAAAAAAAACTTTTTTTTTTTACCGCTAGCCACGCGGTTCGATATATTCCAACGGACAGAAAGAGGTATTAGACACAAACTGTCAAATATGCGGAAATTAGGGAAAAATAAGTCACACTTTACATTACCAGTACATGATCCGTCTGAAATTACGAGTTGCAGCAGTCTTATTGCCTGTTTCGATACGCCTCCTCTGCCATTTTGAGTGACGAATTTTTGATACTTCAGATTGAGTCCTCGAATGACAATTACCGCTAGGCTTAAAGGTCTAGCTTCCGAAGACGAGTTTCTCAACGAAATGCCGACCAAGTACATAAGAATGATTCCCGAGGAATACGCGCACACCTCATCTATGTCTTGTATACGGTTCCGTGTGTACAAAGACCTTTTTTTTTTACGAAATATTATGTCCGTCTCAGGATTCCCACTGATAAGCCTAGTTTTTGGAGCCTTAGCCTCCTGTATATGGCTGTGTTGGGAAAACAAATAACACGAAGTACTGTTGCCGTTATTACGTCATATGTTAGTGGCAATAGCAATATCAAACTCGAGGAGATAAATGACAAGGGTCTATTGGAAGCTTTTGTATGGTAATCAGAATACAGCGGAATAGAGGCCTTAGTGAGTGGCATTTAAACAAAGTGTTTTTTCGCATAACAGATTTGTTAAAAAGAAAGCCATCAAAGCTACACTAACGCGGTCTGTGGAGGTGAGATACGGCCCGAGAGACACCGTATAGAGGCTAATCGTAACAATCAGCCGGTTGACAACTAAAAGACTCCAATGACTTTTTGTAAATAAATATATGGCACTAATTAGAAACTTGCTGAGCGTCACTGAAAACCACTACATCAGTCAATATTAGAAACACGTGGTGCACGTGGGTAGGCCAATGGAGCTCCTGCTGCACTCATGCAGCAGGAGCAAGGCTACGGGTGCGATAACGCGCCCGCGCGGTTTTTCCCTCTTTTTTCATTAGTGTTTTCTTACCCAGCCTTGTTCCTTTAGAACACACGACTTACTGGCTTTGGATAACTCTCAGCAAGTTTCTATTTTGAAACCTATGTCTATTTTTCTAATTAAAAGTTAATTAGCACATTTAGTTAAGTTTCTGACTTATCGTGACGTTTAGCCTTCTGTATTACGTCCCCCTGGCCGTAAACACGCCTGCACAAACCGTACTAGTGTAACTTTCACGGCTTTTGTTAAAAAAATCTTCTAAACTTAAAAAGAAAAACATTGTGTACAAGATTACATTCGAGGTGGTCCATCGAACTAATGTTGCTAACGAAGACGACGACGCTATGCTCGTAGGCACAAGCCTCTGTGGCATGAGAAAAGAAACGGAACGTTTTCACTTAAGCGGGCAGTCGGTAGCATCGTATATCTTTCGTCCTCAACAACAAACGCGCTATACAAATTGATGACCCGGACGTGATGATTGACTCCGAGCACCCATCCAGGGGGACATTCTCCGTAGCTAAGATAGATGAACGCATCGGCCTTTCGGACGAATATGTGGGAGGCATATTTTCCACGCCCCGCGCATACGCAGCCTTCACCACCGTCTCTACCCCATCGTGTCTGCCGCCGGAATTTCCCAGGAATGGGCTGCGACAACCTGACTCTTCCTGCTGACTCGTCAAGTAAACGTTCATTGGCATCTCTTGAACTGGCGCAGTTCCTGGTGTCGCCCCGGCAGCCATGTCCACCATGTGGCGTGGTGCTGGCCTGGCACTGGAGCGTATATACCGCAATGTCTGGGGCGTGCCGCACCGCGTCAAGCTGAGGCATCGCCAAGTCAGGGCGCACCACACTGTTCTCAACAAGGCACGTCGCTGGCCGAGCAAGGGCCTCCCTATCACTGCTAGGACAGGCGTCTGTTATCCGCTTGGTTTCTGGGCTCCGAGGGCAACATTGCATTGTCCCCGCAGATGGCCGCCTCTCCTCTTGAGCCCAAGGACACACGCTCTTTGGCGATATCGTGCCGGAAAAATAGCACAACGGGATCGTTTTTTCCGTTATCTGCTGCCTCTACAACAACTGACCTCAGCGTCAACTACCCTGTGCGGCTTCACGCACGCACCCCATATCAGCAGCAACCACGCCACTCTCTCGAGCCATACCACTACTGCAACGAAATCGCTCCATCCCCCACACTGTATCGAATAAAGACACGAGCCGTGGGGTAGCGATTGAAGAAAAGTGCATAAAGTTTAATGCTGCGTCCCTTAAATAGGCCAGCGGTGGCGCTGCCCACGATGCAGCAGGTTGCCAGAGTAGCAGCACCGTTACACCTCCCTTTCTTTTTGAGGGATGGCGAAAGCAGTGAAATCACGGGTGCTGCTGAAAACGCCCGTCGTACCACAACCTTGCGGGTGGTTGTCGCGCACGTGTTCGCTTCGCGGCAGTTCCTTGATCTGTGGAAAGCTGCCCTGTATCCACGGGCGTCTCTGCCCTGAAGCTGCTCTGCGCAGGCGCTTGAAGATAAGTTTCTTCACTTTCAGTTTCTTCATTTTCTGCTGAGGGGCCGGAAGAGTAAGCACGTTCTGTGGCATGGGCCTCGGGGTGGTCTCCATCTAGCACAAAGTCTTCGTAAATGGGACGGAGGTGCACCCCGTTTCTTCTCAATTCTCGTCCATCTTCCGTGCTTACTATATATGAACGTGGAGCTACACCTCGTTGTACCTGAGCCTTTTTGTTCCACCCCCGATCGTCCCGGATTCGCACGACTTGACCCTCAGCAAGAGGAACCTGTGCAGATCCCCGATTGCGGCACTGATAGCGCTTCTGTACTGGTGATGGGGCCCGTGGCGCCAAGTTTGAAATGGGAGACCGCAATATCCGTCCCATGAGCTGCTGGCTCGGGCTCCGGCCATCGTCCAAGGGAGTTGATCTGTAATTTAACAGTCCAAGCCAAAAAATCTTCGTTGGCGTCAATCGTTTTTTTCAAAATTCGTTTAACTATCTGGACTCCTTTTTTGGCGAGTCCATTTGAGCGAGGAAAGCGAGGGCTTGATGTTGTGTGTACGAAGTCGTACTTGTGAGCGAATTGCCGAAACTCGTGTGAGGAAAACTGTGGACCATTATCCGAGCATAGTTCCAGTGGTATTCCATGTCTTGAGAATAAGCTGCTAAGCTTCTCCACCACAGCCGCTGACGTGACCTCTCGAAGTTTTTCGACTTCCGGAAAGTTAGTGAAAGCGTCATAGGCTACGAGGTAAGAGGAACCAGCACACTCGAAAAGATCAACGCCAATTCCATTCCACGGGAAGTCAGGAACTGACCGCATAAGGAAGGGCTCACTTGGCAGCCCATACGCATACTGCTGACAAACCCGACATCGCTGAATAAGAGACTGGATGTCTTCATTGATACCAGGCCAGAAAACCAGTTCTCTTGCTCTGGCCTTACACTTGTTAATGCCGAGATGACCAGCGTGAATTCTCTCAAGAATTATTTTTCTCATGCTGTGAGGAATGACAACTTTTGTGCCCTTGAAAATAATTCTTTCTATTGCTGTTAACTCCCCTTCAAAGGCCTGTATAGACCTTGAATAGGTCTCTGGTGTTCAAGGCTATTGATTACTTGAGCAAGAGTTGCATCACTAGCTGTCGCAGCTATTAGCTGTTCCCGTATTTTCGGACTGACCATACTGTATTCAACCCCTACAGCATGTAGCTCAACGTCTGATTCCGATTGTTCTTCCTTCTTACTCTTTGAGAATGCTCTGGAGAGGGCATCCGGAACGACTAGATCCTTTCCAGGAATAAACTTCAACTCAAAGTCGTACGTCATTAATCGTAGAAAGAACCTTTGCAATCGTGGGGGCATGTCACCCACCGACGTCTTTGCTATAGCGATAAGAGGTTTGTGGTCCGTTTCAACTAAAACCTTCCTCCCGTACACAAAGTCATGAAACCTCTCGAGCCCGTAAGTGACTCCCAGGGTCTCCTTTTCAATCTGGGAGTACCTGGTCTCTGTATCTGACAGAGCTCGCGAAGCGTACGCCACTGGCCGCCACCCAGTCTCGTGCAGTTGCATTAATGCAGCCCCTAATCCGTATTGCGACACATCTGTTGATACTCTCACTGGTTTCACAGGGTCAAAGAGCGCAAGTGTCGGAGCGGTCACTAGGAGTGTCTTCAGGCCCTCCCACTCTGTTTGATGCGCCCCAGTCCACTCAAATACAGTTCTATCTTTGATGATGTCACGTAATAAGTTTGTTTTCAACGACAAATTAGGTATATACTTGCCAAAATAGTTTATAAATCCCAACAAACGCTCCGCATCATTTTTGTTCTCTGGCGTCGGAAAGTCGTGGACACCCTGAACTAGGGTTGGGCTCGGTTTGATTCCGTTCTGATTTATCACGTCTCCTAGGAAAGTTACTTCTTTGCAGGATAACTTGCACTTCTCTAAATTAAGTGTGAGACCTTCTCGCGTTGCTCGGCTTAACA